AGGACATCTGGTCTCATTAAAAGATCAAATAGATACTCCAGATTCGTTAGTTGTTTAACAAAGTGGGAATCATTTTCTCACTGTACCGACGCTTGTGAGATAGATATTCCAGTCACAGGTGATGCAAAACAGAGGGAAATGGACCCGCCTTCTCCTTCCCTCGCAAGGTGGTCTCCTTCCAGCAGGATGGGGCCGTTAAGTCCATCCTGAACACAAGTTCAGAGGGCCAGAGGCTTATGTCCCTTATGGCTAGCATTGACCTGGATTTCAGTCCTGGTTCTCCTTCCACCCATCTTTTCTGGCAGAAGGAGCACACACTGCACATGCTGAGAGCACCGGCCTGCATCAGGCATCAGGACTGGCCTTCTGGCTGGCACGAGCGTGCTCGCGGGACCCGAGTGTCTGGGAGGGAGGGCTTGGTGAGGTTGTGTAAAGCCCAGAAGAAGCACTAGCTGGTAGATGCACACGAAATGGCTCCCCAGTGGCTGAGAAGAATTATTGAGGCTTTCTAAAGTGACTCATTCCCTCTCCGGGGTCATCTGGGCTCAGGGAAAACCTGTCTTGCTGATTATTAGTAATTTAATGGTGGCGGTGATGGACTTCTGATAACCCAGAGATCCGCTTTAGCTTTACTGGCAAAGGTCTGTGGTCTGGGAGTCAAAGGTCAGAGCTTGTGTGTTATGTGTCTGTTGTCTGTCTGCTTGTCTCTTTCGGTTTCTGTCCCTGTCTCTGCCTACCCCCCCCCCCCCTCTTTGTACTAGGGCCCTAGACACACAGAAAGTCTACTTCTCTGACCCCGAGTCTCAGTCTTGCCTTCACCAGGGGCAAACAACACTCTCTGGAAAGACAGTCCAGCAGATAAAGTGTTTGCTTCTGACCCCTCCCGAGAACCCAGGTAAAAGGCTGAGCGGATGAGACGGCCAACCTGCCATCGCTGTGCAGGGGGAAGAGACAGAAAGTGTGGCACTGGCTGGCAGTGAGACTCCCTGCTTTTGCACTGGATTCCGGGAAAACCCTGCCTGGATACAGAAGCTAGAGAGAGAATGATGGAGGGCACTGGACCACAAACCCTGGCCACCACACGTGCGAACACAAACACACACATGCACAGCCATGCACACATTAAAAGAGACAGAGAGGGACAGTGGGTGTCACCTGATTCTCACCAGCATTGGCTCTGAAAACCTAGGCAAACTCTCTCTAGGCAATGGGGACTGTGGATTCTACTTGGGCTTTTTCAAAAGTGACAAGGGGCACTCAATTTTCTACTCAGGTGCCACTGTTTAGGATGATGGAGACCAAAGCCGTTCTTTGAGAATGAAAACCAGGCCAGCGGAGACAATCATGTGTCCCCTTGATCCTTCTCCTTCTTTTCCTACTGTGCCCTTCAAGCCCCCCTTTTGTCGTGGGTCGATTCCCGCATGATGCTTTGTGACTGAACCCCTTTTCACACATACCTCCCAGATAGGAATCAAGCTCAAAACTACCCACCAGCCCTTCCGTTCCCCTGAATAAAGTCTGTCTTCTCTCCTTCTGACATGGTAGGAAGTGTAGCTGTGCATGTGATCAAGGGGTGGTTGGCAAAAATTGCCTTATTATCCTATTATTTCCAGGAGCTTTCTGTTGGGGGGCAGGGGTGTAAGCAATCTGTTCCCTAAGTGTATCACTTGATGGGCCATTTACTGTGACAGTGCCAAGAAAACAAGCGCCTGGAGGTGACCATACATTTCCCCAAATGAGACTTAAAAGTCACAACTTCAGCAGGAAGAAAAAAAGAAGGAAGACTTGGACTACAGGCTTTAGGCGTGTCTTCGAGCCCATGCCAGGAAGAAGCCTGGTTTGAGATGGCAGTGCCAGGGAGGTGACAGCCAGTGGACAGACTGCAAAACCTTCCCCGGAGCAATGCTTCTCCAACTGCGGGTCAAGAGTGATTAGTGGGTCATGAAATCAATTTAGTGGGTCATGACCAGAATAAAAGGCCAAACAAAACATGAAATAAATGAGATGGGAGAAGAACAGAGGGTCCTAGAGTGAGTGTGACATGGGGGTCACAGAGCAGCACGTGGCACCTCACTTCAGGGATGAGTATGTGCGTGAGTATGTGCAAGGTGTGTTTGGTATACCATGTTCCAATGTATTCCCTACTGAGGGTCATACTTTAATAGTTTTGAAACTGCACACACTCGCGCGCGCATGCACACACACACACACACACACACACACACACACACACACACACACCCTGCATTCCCAAGGACCTGCTCTGGTTGTTTGTTTTGTTTTGGAGATAAGGTTTCTTCCCAGTAGCTTTGGAGCCTGTCCTAAAAGTCACTGTGTAGAGCAGGCTGGCCTTGAACTCACATAGATCTGCCTGCCTCTGCCTAGGATTAAAGGCGTGTGCCACCACTGCCCTTCTGGTTTTTTTGTTTTTTTTGTTTTTTGTTTTTTGTTTTTTTTTTTTACAAAGTAAATTTATACACAAACAGAAGAAATTCTCCTCCCACATCTCTGATTAAGCCATCCTGAAGTTATAGTTCTACTCTTTGTTCTCTGAAAAACACTTAAGCTGAGTGGGTCCTGGTTTTCTGTCCCCTGGGGGATTTTCCCAGCCCTCATAGCACCCTGGTGTTTGTACATTTTTACTTTCCTTTTTCAGTTTATTTCCTATGATGACAGCCGGCCAAGCGCATTAAACAACAGTGTAAAGATGTCAATGCCCCCTTCCAAACCAAGACCTTGATATTTCAGGCACATTGAAGCCCTGTGCCATTGGAAAGAATCAATCGCACTCCAGAATTTAGCTGCGACGAAGGACATTTGAAAAATGACGACTTTCCCGGCATCCCTGAAGGCTAACTGGGGGCTACTTACTAACCTTTTCTTTTGTATATATATTTATACACATAATCATAATTAATACACCTAATTATTCCGCTGCTGATTGTTAAAACAAAAATCTCTTCAGCTGTGTTTCTAAAAGAACTTTGCTGTTCTTTCTTCTAAGTTGAGACCGGGTCTCATTCTGTAACCCCAGGCTGGCCTTGAACTCACTGCAAGCCTCCTACCTCAACCTCTTGGTTATTGGGATTACAAGAATATGCATCCATACTAGGTTGGGTTTTTTTCTTTAAGGAAATCCATACAAATATTATTTACAAAATTGTTAGAAACTTTAGGAAGAGATATCTTTATCTCATCCAACCTCATACTCATCTTATACAACTAACTTGCTACTTGGCTATTTTATGGGTTGCTTTGGTTATTCATTACAATACAATCATACCATCCAGTAACACTTGATTCATACTGTTTCCCAGTGCCATGTTATTAATGTAAGACTGAATATAAGACTGTTAGACCAAGACTGAGCCTTTTATCAGACAACTATGCTAAAGACAGTACCCCCTCACTGTGCCTGCAGTGTGTCAGACCTGCAGAGCTCAGCGCCTTTCGCAGGCATTCACGTCCCTCCTTGCAGAACGACCTCAACACAAGCATCTCACACGTAGTCTTATAGGCGAGAGCACCAAGACTTGGCAACGCCCGATCCCTGCCCGTGACAGACACAGCTATAGACCCAGAAGACCTCATTCAGCTCAAGTCCACGTAACTGCTCCTACTCTGCTTTCCTTGTTTATATACACCACTTCACCTTCCAGTTGCTGGCAAAAACACTTTCAGTTTTAAGTAGCTCCTCGGTCCTCTTAGGGACATGGCTATGAATATAAAAGCACTCAGAATAGGAAAGTGTCTGGTTTTTGCTTTTTAAATAAAGGATGCTCTGTCACAGAGAGTGCGTCTCTACACTACTCTGGGGGCACCTGGCCTTATCATGCTTGCTCAGAGCTTTCTGTTTGCTCTCTGTGGCCAGGTCGCGTCACCCTCAGCCACCTTTCTGGGTAGCAATAAAGGGCAGGGTGCACCGCCGCCGCAAGCTGGTGGCATTTTTGTTTCCACCCACATACGTGCCGGTGCTGCAAGACTTCTACGACAAACATCACTTCCCCCAGCACACAGCTTCATGGTTCCCTACCCCTCAGCCTGCACAACCCATTTTAACGGTAAGCCTTTCGGCTGAAAGTCTACATCACGCTGGGTATCAGAAGCCAGAGACACTGCTCATCACCTCCCCCACCATGGCAGCAGAATCACAACGTTGATTTTTTTTTTTATAATGAAAAAGCCTGAGAAAAATCAAAGTTAGGATTTTGCTTACGTCGGGAATGGAATGATTAGTAACAAAACGTGGCTTGGTCATCACTCAGATTCCAAACTCCTAAGTAACTTTCCTGTATTAATTCAGTTTTAAGTTTCAGGAAATAAAATAATTATGGAGTTAAACAGAGATCCTTATGCAAACAACTGCTGTGTTTACAACGTCCCAATGCATTTGCTGAAACCGCAGAGATTTGCAAGAAACCCAGCAGACAAACACTCACCATTGGCTTACTCCCTAGGCAATAGCAGTCAGCATCCTACTGGCATCTGCTCGGAAAACAATGCTTTTACCACCCTAATGTCAAGGCAAACAAACAGTAAATGCCTATTTGATTCTACCAACCAGTGATATCGTTTGCACTTTGCAGGACCTGAGCAGTTAAATACAGGCATTTTTCTCCTTCGAAAAGAAACCTTCAAGATGACATCATTATAAGATGGTTTGTGACTTGACCGTTTTTTTTTTTTTTTAAATGAGTTTAGTAGCTGTTTCATGTTATATTTGGGGGGAAAGAAACCATCTCTTTGAGTTAAAAGCGTTGAGTGCATTATGCTATATAGAAACAAAAAACTACTTAAATGTCATGCTAAACACCAAATCCCAATTGGGAGCTACACAGAACGAAAGCCCTACCGAGTAGGGCTATAGTAACCCTGCAGTAATGGTCACGACACGCTCTCTTCCTTAAGTCACATACTCAAAAGGAAAACCTATTCTAAGCACCGAGAGCATAAGGAACGGTCAGAACGGGCAGAGGAGGGTAGATCAGGACTTGGCATACCTTCAGTTCCCTGAAGAAGATACTACTCCTGGCCCACTCAACGATGGTAAAGAGCGTCTGGTCCGCCATTTTGCACATAAGCCCAAACGTGTTCAGTTTTTCGTGCTTGCCTCGGTTTGCCTGCTCTTGCTGTAAGAAACTCGAGATTTTCACTTGAATTTGAGGCTCCTCTCGTTCACACTTCAAAAGTTCCAGTATCAGGTGTGGGACGCTGGCTGGCGAGCTTGTCTGGTAACCATCCATGTAGGGGTAACCCATCATTGACTCCGGCGAGCTGGTGTAGGGATCTGGGTACTCGGACTTGATGGCCCGGCTAGGAAAGTGACCATATGGTTGGTAACCTTGCAGGCTGCCATGGGGAGGCATTGCCATGCTAATGGGAGACGTGACAAAGGGACTCCTGTCATAGTCTGCGGGAGGCAAGGCAGCATGGTTCAGAGGTAGGCCTTTAGTAGAATGCATGTTTTGGATTGCTGAGGAGATGGTCAGATCTGAGGGCATCGCTTGGATCACCTGAGACATGGCTTCCAGCTTAAGTCCATTGGCTCGAATGAGGGCTTTCTTCTGTTGCTTTAGGGCCCTGTCTCTCTTGTACATTGGCCCAAACTTATTTCTGCCTCCTCGCATGCGGTCAGCTCTTACGGCTATTGACAGAGGAGAAAGGAAGGGTTACTACAAGAGGGAGTTAGTAGCATTCTGCAAGATCTCTAGGCATTTCAAAACACTGGTAATTCATAGGAAGTGAATTGTGTGTGTGCGCGCGCGCGCGCGCGCGTGTGTGTGTATGTGTGTGTGTTTTGAGGGTTTCTCTGTAGCTTTGGAGCCTGTCCTGGAACTAGCTCTAGTAGACCAGGCTGGCCTTGAACTCAAAGATCCACCTGCCCGTGCCTCCTGAGTGCCACCACCACCCTGCTAAAAAAACCAAGATATTCCAAGAAAAATGTCTTCTGACAAATTCTTTCCATTAAGTGGGTTTTGTTATCAAAAAAACACATTTTGGGTAACCAAGAAAGTATTAGTCCGTTGTGGACTAAAAAGTTTCACAACAGATTTTTAATATTCATGGGGGGCAGGTTCCTTTCTGGGTGGGCCAGTTTCTAGTATGCAAGCTATGTCATGGCTTCTCATGGAAGCCAAATTGTATACTTGCTGTGTATCTGAGTAGGTTTGTGTGCTCGGCACAAGGACCATTTTTCTTTTTCTGTCTTTGTTTTAAAGTAGAGAATAAGCCCATTCTAGGTTAAGTAGTTTTTCTGGCAGCATCTTCCTCGTGCCTTGTGATTTTTGGATACTTTGTTACAAAAGTTAGCTAGGGCGAGGCTCTTGGAAAAACCCTTTCACCTGGACTTGATGAGACCACCTCAGAAAATCACCAGCCATGCTTTGAATTTAAGTGGGATTGGTCAGAAGGAAAACAAAGTCATTCCAGAGTTGTCCAGAGGCTCTACTGAGCCACAGTGGTGTGGCCATCAGTAGAGCTCTCCAGGTCCACCCCAGTGGCCAGCGGCGACTGGACAGAACCCAGCAACCTTTCACAGTCTGGGACATGTTGAGAGGTCAAGTTGAGCTTTTTAACCTTAGGATAAGCATTCACACTAAAAATTTATTGTGAATTCTAAGTACCCACAATTCTACACTGGGTTGTAAGAGTTCTCCAATGAGATAATTTATCAAACATTTTGCTGTTCTATGGCTATGATGGGCAACTCACACACAATTAGCGCAGCGAAATATTGAGGCTAAAATCACACAATCTCTTTTCTTTCGCTGAAAAATCAAGCGACATTGGATGGAATGACATCATTTGAGTTTCAGCATTCCATCTTCTGCTCTTGTAGTTGACATCTGCCACTGTTGGCAACTAAAGGGACTGATGATGAAATTAATAAGCCTCCATTATTTCCCTTCTCAGTCTCCTCCTGAAAGTAGTCCCTGTGCTCACCAAAGTGGCTGCTCCTATTTGAACAAATTTGTTAGCAATTTGGCAGATTTACCCCCAAACACAACTCATTTAATTTTTTTTTTCAGGATTTCTGCCAAGAGTAAGTTCTAGGTGACAGAAAACCTCCAAATAAAAGTAGCTTGTGTCGCCTCGATCAAATGAAGTGCATCCTAGGCCAGTGCTGGTCCCCCGCCATGTTACATTATTTGCAGTCTGTTTAATCTGTGGAAGGCCAGAAGGTCAAAGGCTGGAGAATAGCAGCACGCCATAACAGTCATGAAGTCCAAATTATTTACAGCGGTCACATATTAACCCCGCTGCCTGCCAAGCTGAACCCCACAGTTCTTTAACAGTTCAGTGGGACTTTCTAAGGACCCTTCTCTTGGGCTCAATGCTACTGATTTGGGTCCATTGCCTTGCATGCTGTCTGCTTCCCGGTTGTTGAATTGTATAGCTGCAATCATTACCTTTTCCTTTAAAAGAAGAAATAGATGTATACCTTTCTGCTATTAAAAAATAAAAATCCATATAAGAAATTCCTTTCACAATGTAAAACTAACTTTTCTCAAGAACTGTCAAATGAACAACAAGTATGACAAGCATACCAATTTTCTTTAAAAAAAAAAATACTAGGGCATCTTGATTTAGAAAGAATTAAGGTTTTTTTTTAATTTTATTTTTCAATTCTTTACAAATTAATTGCATTTTTTTTCTTGGTAGAGTTGCTTCCGTCTTGTTGACTTTTTTTGGTATCATACTCCAAACTAAAAAGGAGAGCAGGACAACTTCTATAATTCTCTTTTGTTCCCCAGTAGATGTTACCAGGTTTAAACGACAGACGAAACAAAAAAAAAAAAAAATACTTCCCATCATTCTCAATAGTGTTAAAAGGCTAGAAAAGGAATGTCCCCATGCTCCATGTTCTAAAGTCCACGTCCTGGGAGACTTAATTGGCAGAGTCTTACCTTCTAGCTTCATTCCAACACTTAGACATTTCTGGAATCGACAGTAAGGACAACGTTTTCTCTGTGTCTTGTCAATTTGACAGTTCTGGTTTTCTATACATGTGTACCTTTTATTGTTCTGGACTGTTCGCTTAAAAAACCCCTACAAGACAGAGAAAACAGTGAGGCAAAACCTGCTTCTCCTATTATTGTGCTCTAAGGAAATCGCCAGAAAAAGGCTTTCAATGTGCCCGGGAGCCCTTATGTGGTCGATTCACATTTCAGTAAGACCAGCCCTCCATAGCACTGCTGGCCTCGGGGAACAGTTTCCTGGCCCCAGGATTATATTCCTGAAGAATTATGTCAGTTTCATACCATTTCGTTCCGATAGTCAGAGAAAAAATACACTTTATATTGACCAATGTTTCTTTTTTTTTTAAAATCTGGTTTCCAATTAATTAACATTAATGTTCCAAACAGAGGTAAGACACAGAGCCCTGCATTGTTTTTTAGGTAATATCAAGCCATTTCGGTCACACACCATTGTAAAATGCCAGTGTTGGAATGAATAGCAAAATACCTCAGATCTTTTACAAACATCAACACTCGGCAGTTAAAAGGAAAAGGACTTCAAGAGCAAAATGGGGAAATGCTCCTAATGCCAATGGAACCCATTCAAGGGTGTGAACTGAGTTTTAAAAATTCAGCTAATAGGAACACCCTGCACACATGCAGGGACATGCGCACAGCCCACGGCGCTGAACTGATGCCTGCCTGGCACTCCACGGGACTGCTCAGAGATACAGTGTGTGGCTTTCATATAGAGCTGACACCTCGTACCCTTGCTTATCTGACTGACCGCAAACGAACAATCTTATTTTGTTGTGGAAAGTGAAGGGGGGTGGGGTTCCCTAGCAGTGGTTTAAGTAAAGGCAGTTTTCTACTTCAAAGAGTATGTTGAGAAAAAAATACAGAAAACTGAATTTATGGAACTATAAAAAACCTGACACAAATCCTTAAGATCTTGACAAGATCTAAAGGATAGTGACCGTACACAAAGTCCCTGCACTTAAATAAGTCACGTGATACACTTAAGAAAACTGTTCAATCAGAAACTAAAAATCTTGTTTCATGGTATCTTGATATAAATTCCAAAAGTCAAAAAAAGCCTTTAAATTACATTTGGGATCCATCAGGATGAAACGATGCCGTTGGGAATTCAGATTTTCATGTCTTCTGAACTAAGAAAAAGATTCCAACTTGAGGCAGAGATTACTCTGAAGTTAAAGTGTTCTTGGGATACACTGTCATGTTTCCTTTCAAGAACAATGTTTTAAATATATATAAATCAAGCAGAATCAATATTTAGGACTGTTAGAAATAAAGTCCTCCTATAGATACATCACTGTGCCACAATAAACTAGTTTAAAGCCACCAGTCTGGCAAGTTTTCTACAGAGCATAGGTATCTTTGCCTTTTGAACTAAGTCAAACATATTTTAAGTTACTGGTCTCCCTTTGGCACCTCTCCCTCCATTTTTAGTTGAAAACAAAAAAGGAAACAGCTTAAGTTTAGCTTTGAAGGCTAATCCAGTGCTTTGTTTTCTGGTCTGAACATTCTATTTTTTGGTAGCAGTAAAAAAAAAAAAAGCGAACCTTGCAGCTTTCACAGGTAAGGAGACCATAATGGTACCCGGACACTTTGTCTCCACACACAGGACATAGCTCTTCGAGATCTTCATCATAGGAGTAATTCACCATTTTAAATTGAGACACTGAAACAAAAAGAGAAATGTGCACACATGCCCTATTAATTCCCAATATAGGCATTAAAGCTGGAAAAACAAAGGCGTTTTGGTGATTGATGACCAAATATCATCAGGAAAAAATATAAAATGTTTACCCAACTGGCACTAAAAAGAACTACTTTTACACAATGAAAGGAAAACACCTCTGGGCATCAGTGAACATGCACTTTATGGTTTTTAAATTTAAAAATAATTCCAACTTTTCTGGTTAATATTTTACACTGACCACTGTTCAACAAAAGCCAACAACAGATCAGAATAGAAGCATTGAACCATACAAAGCAACAACCTTATATTGCTTTTAAGCCTCTAACATCCCCAAATGTCACCGTTGCCTAAGAGTAAAATCAGGCTTTAAGTGACTGACACACTCTTGAAGGGGTTGGCTCTAAGTATACCTCACTATGCAAGGCTAGCAATGCTAATTTACACATGCTACTTGGAGAGCAAGGAAGCCTCAGAAACCTGCTTCTCAGAAGCAACTCCCCCCCCCCCCCTTTAACAACAGCCTGTGGCTCCCAAGGTTCAAGTCTGTTAGGTTAATCAAAACATTCAGTTCCGTATTGACTGTAGTTCTGTTCTGGCCACTTTCATCTCCTCACGTTTGAAAATGTCCTGTGAAAATAAAAACAAGGAAGAGGAGAGGACACCCGGAAGGGGGCAGAAACAGACGAGGAAAAGAAACACACACGACGGTTTAGCGGAGTTCTAGAGCTTATGGGGAACTTCACAAGTTTCCCATAAGCACGGCAAAGCATAAACACCTCCGAGAGTGCCCGGTTGAGCAGAAATCAGGCCAGGCATCCTGGCTCACTGTGGGGAGTACTATGGCTACTAGGGACACTAATCCACAAACGCCCCAGACAGGTGAACGTGAGTGGCCAGCAGACCCCAAGGAACCATCAGATGAGACTGAAAAACCACTTCGGTCAAGCCCCACCCCAACTCCGAAAAGATTGGCAAACAGAGCAGGGGTGGGCCAACATCCAGGCAAGGGGCAGGTCTGAATAACCCGCCAGCACCGGTGCTCCCCGCACCCTCTTTAAACCCTCTGTGCACCGGGCTCTTGGGCCCCTTGCTCAACCCTCCTCTACCCAAAGGCGCACAAACTCCAAAGAGAGTTTGCTTTAAGTTAATCAGTGGCACGACAAGGGGCGGGGCGGGGGAGGGGTACCCACAGCCTGGCAGAGGTTTCCTCAGATTTGTTTACTAAAAAGGAAATGGAGAAATAACCCCTACCCCCGTAGCCAAATTACTATGCCTCTTTAATTATCAGGTAATATCCCTATTCTTTTAAATCAGTTTACCCCCCACACACACCCGAGTCTTGATGGAGTATCTGTTCTCCGTAGACTTGTTACTTAAGTTGGCCTGAGAGAAAACAACAGTTTGCAAAGACTTCGGGAAGAGGCTGGAAGAGGCTCCAGCAAAGGCAGTCACTGGACTCGGGAACTTAGAAACAAGGGTTGCTGAGCGCGCCTCTCAGCAGCGTTGCCAGCCTGAATTCCAACTCTCAATGAGAGACAGCGCCACTCTAGGGAACCAGAACCTGGGGATTTGGGAGAAGCTGCGGGTTGGGGAAATTTATTTACGAGGCTTTGCAAACTCATGACTTGTGTTCCAGGTACACTTTGGGGGGGGGGGGGGCAGTGCTTTACCAGATGTGTGTTCTCTTCTGTCTCCCAAACTAAACTCTAACTTCACATTTAAGAGTATCGTATTAGCGACAACTTATACTCTCCGTGTGCTCATCTGGGAGATGCCACATGGAAAAAAAAAATGAGGCCCATCTTCTGGCAAAATCTAGAGTCTGAGTGGAGAGAGGTGCATCTGAGAGGCCAGGGCATTGTTTTGGGTTTTGTTTTGTTACTCACAGGATCCTCCGCGGTACCTGAATGAAGATTTGAACCAAATCCACCAGGGCAAAGAAATGCCTGGGAGCCCGGAGAGAGAACAACCGAGCCTTGAAAAGCTAGGTCCTCTGAGAATTTCCCTTAAATTGCATTCCCCATGTTGCCTGAGAACCTAGTGAGAGATTCTCTTTCTGGGTTCCCAGGCAAAGTAGGGGTGAGCTACCCTGTTGAGTGAAATCTACCGGCGCGGGTGCGCTCAGCTCAGACAGCAAAACACTGCTGAAGCCGCACCAGGCTTTTCCCACGCAGCTTTCAAACCCAGGGCCAAGCAACCTGGGGTGATCTACTAGCGCCTTGCACAAAGGCAAGCTTGGAAGCTGGAGGCATGAAGGGCCCTCTCAAATTAAAAAAAAAAAAAAAAAAAAAAAAAAGCTACCAGGGCATCTCTCTCTAGTCATCCGTAAACCCTGTATTTCGTTCTATTGCGCTGTTTTTCCTGCGTCCGCAACCGCCTATCCCAAATGTCTGCTCCGGGGCAGGAAGTAGCAAGAACCGGGTCCTCCTGCCAGGAGGAAATTTAGCAGGGCTGGAGGGCAGAGTGCAGGAAACCGGCCTAAGGCACTTCGGAGGAATCCCCAGGTGCACCTCTTTCGGCCACCAAGGCTCTCAGCAGCAGCAGACACGAAAAGTTAGTCTGGGGAATTTCTACAGCGCTGCTCAGGGACTTAGAGACCCCGAGAACACCCAAGATAACAGCCCACCTACATGCCTGACACCCCTTTACCCTGTGTGACTAGACAACCCTAAGTTTCCCTACCAGAGCACGCGGGGAAAAGGGGGGGGGGGCACACAGCCTACCCAGCACTATAGAACACAACAGCCCAGAGCACTGCTCTCAACGCCTCTGACCGGTTCAAGTTCGCGCAGAGGGGCCGCAGGAAGTTTCGGGGATCACAGGCTGGCTGACCCGAACATCCTGAACTCTGGTAGGGGCGAAGATGGAAGAACCTTTCCTAGCATTGTTCCCACCCTGGCCCGTAGCTAAGATAAAAGTTCTGAAGAAAATACAGCAGATGAGATTGGATCTTTTTCTAATATCAACCATGAGCAGGGACGCCAAGAGGATAGCAGTAGTCACAGCTGGGGGACAGACAAGGCGATGGGCTAATCCTGAGCACAACCTTGCATTTGGCACTCTGCTGGGCGGGAATGGAGTTGAGGTGTGCTTTTAAGTTATGCCAGCAGTTTTGGAGCTGCCCAAATCCTAGGCAGCTGCTGGATCCGGCTAGGCTTTCGGGGTGCTCACAGATTCTAACATCAACTGCTTTCCTGTGATCTTTTCTTGTATATACTTGGCTCTCCTAGTCAATCTTTTCCCTCTACACGGGAGCATTAAAGTGTGCGACAGTTCGAACAACCTCGAACCGGGTGCCCAATGAGAGATTCCGTTCCTAAGATTATCCCGTGCTACCCTTTAGCGTTAAGCTGTCCCAGCTCCAGTTGGCTCTGAGCTCGAAGTCTCTACTTAATTAGAAGTGGCCAGTTAGATATTGATGAGAAAGCACCGTCCGCCTAGTTCAAGTGCCATTAACTTTTATGCTTGCTCCTAAGGAGGAGGCCAACGCACTACTCGGCAGCCTGTAGCAGGCTGAGACTAGCCAGCCGGGCTGCCCCAGTGTCTATGCCGCTGGAGGCTAAAGCCCGCAGGGTCAGCCCGAGGGTGGAAAAGCCGGGAGCTGAAACGCCGCACCGCAATTCCTTACCTTGCATGTTTTCCGGCATCTGCCCCTGTTCCCCATGCGATCGGGCCAGTCCTGGGGCTTCCGTCTCCACTTTGGGCAGCATGACAAGGCGGCAGCGGGCGGGAATGGGGTGTCGGTGTCGGTCCGGAAGCCCAGCACCTGGACACGGGCAGCACAGATTCAACCCCGGCAGGCAGAGAGAAGGGGTGACCAGCGTGCCCGCTCACCCACCCGGTTGCCGGAGCTGCCAGGCAAGACTGAAGTCCTGTCCGGTCTCGCAGCTTCAGAGCTGTTCCTGAGCTGCCTGCGGGAGATCCCCGCTACCAAGCCACACTAAGAAGAGCGCGTCCTGCTACGGGATTCTAGCGATGGTCAGGGCGGCGCTGCTGCCCGGGACAGCGATCTGTGCGCGCCGCGCTCCGGAGGGCAGCAGAGGCGGCCGCCAGCTGCTACGGCTGCGGCGGCTGAATGGCTCCAGGACTCCTTCCCCTCCCTGCACCCGCCCTCTGGCTCAGGATCGGCAGGGGTCTCTCTCTCGCTCTCTCTCTTTCTCCACACTTCTCTCCCCACCTCTACTGTCCTCTCCTCTCTTCTCCGCCCCTTTCCCCTATCTCCTTCAGCTCTCTGTCTCCCTTGCTTGCTCACAGGCTAACACAAACAGTGGAGTTCTGAAGTTCCAACCTTCCACTCCCCTCGGGTCGAGAGCCGCCCTTTCCAGCCCCGAGGGTGACAGTGCCGGGAGGAAAGGGGAAGACCCACAGGAGAAGAGAGGTAAGGGGGGGGGGGGTGAGAGGTGAGACAGTGAATGGGGATGCAGGTTCCGGACTCAAGTCGGACACTAGTGGCTAGCCAATAAGGAAGCTCTGGCCTCGGTGCCTGCCCCAACCTCTTCACCCCGCCTTAATCTACTCCCACCTCATCGTGGCCTGGGGCGGGAGGGGGGGGGAATGTAAATGCTACTAGGTTTCTAGCTAAGGAGAAGCGACCTGTGTCCGAGCAAAGCTGACAAGGATGTGAAGGCTGAGAGGCCATTTAAAAGAGCTGAGGGGAGGCAAGGAGAAGGTTTGGGGTGTAGGAGTGTCGGTGGTCCTCGCGTGAGTGTGAGGAAGAAGAGACCCGATAGGAGTGAAGTGCCCACTTAAAGCACCTAGAAAATAAAAAGTATGTTGAATTTATAAATGGAGGGTGGTTGATCCCGCTATCAAGGTCCTCCTTGCGCACAGAAATCTGAGAGGCACACCAGGAGTGGCTGGGCCCTAAAGAACTCACTTTGGGGACAACTAAAGTCACTGAGATTTCTCTCACTTGCATAGACTTTGAGTAAATGACAGCCACTCCTGCTTGCCCAGGCTGCTCTCCAGCCCTGCTCCCCGCTTATGAAAAACACTTCAATTGAGTCCAAGATTATTTTGGTGAAAGACTTCCTGATTTCAGTGAGAGCTGCGTTTCCACGCAGGATGGAGAGATCAGCCCCGGCCTTTAAAGTCCCTTTGGTGGGGCTCATCCACGCGACGCCTCCAAGGCAGCATGTTTTAAAGAAAAAGTTTAAAAGAACCATCTGTTATGCAAGCTCTTAAGCCACCAGTCCAGCCACATCTTCAAAGTTTTCAGATCCCAACAAGATGAAAAACATTCTCCCTAGCCTCCAAGACACGCGCAAAAGCTCTATATCCAGGGTCTGCCATGCAACTGGGCAATTATCAGAGTCCACCCACAAGGGGGTGAATTTGAATCTCAAAAGATTTGAATTTATTCTATTTAAATAACATAGAGATCGCATCAACTGCCCAGTCTAGTAGTTAATGAATATGAAATTATTCCCATCATCGCTTACATTTTTATTTGAGATGGCTATCCACTGTTGGCTGGCAATTCAAATATATTGACTCTCTAAATTGATTTATCTTTTTGTTTATATATATTCAGAATCCAAATTGTTTAATTTCCAGTTTTTGCAGCATCTTTAGGGATCTTAGAAAACCAATGTGACCCAAGCAAGTCCCTTCTAGCTACAAAACTTGAGGGGGACTGCCATTTAGTTTGTATGGGGGAGAGGGCTGAATTTGCTTGTATTAGTGATCATTAGGCTCAAGTTTTCATGTTAGTATCAAGTCACAATGTCAATACACTTTCACTATTGCCCGTTATTTAAGACATCACTTTGAATTACAGATACATATTCTTACATAGTTCAGAAAGGGAGCAAATCTCCAGGCTCAAATCATTACTCAGCGCCTGCCTTACTTTGGAGTTCCGGCAAACTTAAGAAACCAGTTTTATTTCAAAGTTTTTAAAACAGCTTCCACTTGCTGCAACTCTCAGAGTTCTATTGTTCATTATCTTTCTACCCACCAGCCAAGAAAGAATGCAGGGCTCCAGCTTGGTCTGCACTTTGGGGTACCAGAGAGGGCTCCCAGACTTTCAGGAAACTGGAATAAAACTCTGGCAGACCCTTGTGATCTTATTGTGGCAAAAGAAAGAAAAGGCAAGGAAAGAAAGGAAAAGGAACGAGAGAGAGAGAGAGAGAGAGAGAGAGAGAGAGAGAGAGAGAGAGAGAGAAAAGCCAGAACCAGAAGCTGAGGCTGACCCAGTGAGGTGATCTTTGTGGTGGCACTTCTGGGCCAGAAAGGACTTGCTTAGGCCAAGTTAGTGGCTTCCTCACCTCCAGCTCAATTTGTGGTCCTCCCACTCCAGCACTTCTTCCAAAGACAGGGTGATGGGTGCCAAAGGTCAAAGGGGGCTTTCATATCTTCCCACTGGTAGACTTTCAAAGAAAAAGCCTCACAAATGGGGGCGGGGGAGGACAGGGAATAAAGTATTGAAAAGAATCTGGCCTTGGACATTAAAGTTGTGCTTCTGGCCTTCCCTAGGTCTGAGGATCTTGGCTAAGCAGAGCCTCTGTCTAGCAGCCAACTAAGTGCTTCTAAGGGGTAGAGATCTGAAGAATGGAGAAATTGCCTTTCTGCCAGGTGTTGTACCTACCTCCCCATCTTTAATCCCAGCACTTGGGAGGCAGAGGCAGGAGGACCTCTGTTAAGTTCGAAGTTCAGCCTGGTCTATGGTCTCTATAGTTACTACCAGGTCACTCAGAACTTTATAGTCACACACACACACACACACACACTCACACACCCGACAGAATTTTCCTAGAAACCAAGGGAACTCTGACACCCACCACCTCCACAGTAGAACGAGTTACCTAGAATCAGCCTCATTTCAGATTTCCAGGGTCTAAAACCACCGCCGCCGGCGGTTTTCAAGGTGGGGAAATCTGCGGGAGCTGGGTTTCCTCAGAATTCAAAGGCAAGCTCACGGTTTCCCCGAGTCGGTCCTCAAGTATGGGGGGAGTGGCAGAGCCTCACGCTGAAGGAGGGGTGAGGGAATCAAGCTTCCCTGCTCCTTCCCAGCCCTCAGTCCTACCTCCCGATGCAGTCAACACTACCCCGAACGCACTCTCGGTCCTTCACCCTTCAATTCCGTTAGGTGGTAGCCACCCTGCTGAAGCAGGGGACCAGCTTGTTCCGTGACTTTGGCCGCATTCGGCGGTCTCAAAGACTGTTCCCGAAGAAGCATAGCTCAGGGTGTCCACCTTCCACTACCTGGGATGGTTCAAGATGCCTGTGGCTTCAAATGAGGTTTAAGAGACTAAATGGCTGGGGGAGAGGAGGTAGATGGGATGAAAGAAAGTACATCAAGACCTCTGTGACCAAAATGCGGATGCTAGCCACGGTTAACACGGTCCCCAGAATGCATCATAACCTGGGCCTCCGCAGGAGCTATCTTTTATCAAAGGCCACTTAGCCTCTTTATGGAAGCCCAGGTAGGAATTTACCTCGGCCTTCTTGTGGCAGATACTTAAAGACAAGCTCCCCAAAGCTACCGTGAGCGTTCCGAATTTCTCTGGCACTCCGGGGTCAACTTCTAGCAAACTTCTCCCTCCTCACCCCTCCCCCGCGCCTCCTCCTTTCCAGCAAGGGTAGTCTCCGGGGCTCGCCCTTCCCGGCTTTGACTTTGTCTTCAAGTGTTGATTGACGGTTGCAATTACAAAGGATGATAGCTCGGGGAGGCTCCCGCAGCCTTGATGAGCGCGAGAAGCGCAGGCCTGGCATATTTTATCCAGCCTCGGCGTTCCGGGGCCGTGCGCGCCCCATTCACCCAGCTGGCTGGAGATGAGGAGGTCTCGCACTCCCCACCCACGAGGATGGAGCCGCGGGTTCTCCTCCGGTCCTCTCCCTTCCCGAGGTCACGCCGCTCGGTGGGGCGCACACGGAGAACAGCCTACCCTTGACCTGACCTAAGTGCCCGTCCGCCTGGAGCACCTACCCAACTCCAGGCTGCAGCAGAAAAAAAAAGTCAACATTTTCAGGACCAATTCAAATTTCCTGAGCTCTGCCGCAGAGTAGCAGACACCGCTTTACCGGGCACCTGGGAAGACGAATCTTGCAGCGACCCACCTAATTTAGCAACAAACTTGCAAAACTTTATCCCCGTAAACAAAAGTCTAAGGCTTCCTCCCCAGTTCCCACTTTCCCTCTTGCTCTCTCTTCCTGTGGTGTTTTAAAAAGAAACAAGGAAAGTTACCTTTCTTGAGCTACGTATCTACGTATCATTTACTTCTCAGGCGAGGAAAGAATCCTAGGCTTTTGTGTTTTTTAAAAGTCTTCTTCACCTGGCCGCGACAGTCCAAGGAAAAAGAGAAACGAATTTGTCAGCTCCTGAAGCTCGAACTTCCTTATTTTTCCCATTCCTCCCACTTGAAAAGCCCACCAGAAGCTGCAAAAGTCAGTTGAGCAAACACAGCATTTTGCCTGCAGGCTCTGGGGATTGAACTCCCAGGCTCACGCCCTCACCCGGAGCGCTTTGTTTTCAAAAGAACTGAGCTGCGTTCCAGCACAGCTGAAGGCTGTGGAGCACCTTACGGTTCCTCGAAACTTTGCAAAACAAAACATAAGTTCGAACTGAGTCGCCTTCACCCGCCCTCTTTGAAAAATGTTTTTAAAACTCCCTTTGTGTTGCCTGAACCAAATTAGCAACTCAGGCGCGCTGCGGGGGTGGACATCCCGCTCCCTCCCTGGGGGAGGGGAGGGCAGGTAACCAGTCAGATTTTGGGCAAATCCACTGATTCACAATCCCTTGCGGGAGTGTTCTAATAAATACTCCCTCCCGGGCTTTACCGCGTGGAAAATGCCAACCCAAACAAATGTCAGTGTAATCCCTACTTTTCTACCTCCAACCCCGACGCCTTCCAATCCTCGCCCTGAAAGAAAGGAAGGGCTTTTGGAGATTTTGACCTCCGTTTTCGGAATTTAAGGCTCTTTATATTTAAAATGATGTCACTGGGAACTTTCTTCAACTCGGGGGCCAAGCGCGCCTCGCATCTTCAAAGGAGATCTGGTCTCCAAAGCTTTGGGTTGAGAAAAAGACCTGGGCTATGTGGACCAGACCAAACAACACTTGGAATTGACAAGGACGGTCCGCCAGCCGGCCAAGAGGTCCGCGGTGAAATAAACTAGGCAACTGACGTTTCTCTCCTGCCTGCCTTGAGGACTAGAAATTGTCTTTTAGAGCACGAGGCTAAGATATCAATTCATCTGTATCCGACTAGAGAAGAGATCTCCTGAGCCAAGAAGGATCCTTGGGGGAGTCCTGCTGCTTTCTCAGATGAGACCCTACTTTGAGACTACCTGGCCGGGCGGTGGCGCACGCCTTTAAGCCCAGCACTCGGAGGCCAGAGACAGGCGGATCTCTTTGAGTTCGAGGCCAGCCTGGTCTACGGAGCCAGTTCCAGGACAGGCTCCATTCAGAGGATCCCTGGCTCAAAACACCAGAGAGACAGAAGAGAGGGTGGGAGGGAGAGACAGAGGCAGCAGGAAGAGAGAGAGACTCCAGATAAGACAGCCATTGGCATAGTGTACAGGGAATACAGAGAAGAGCAATTTAAACCCTTTGTCTATGCTGGGCGATGGTGGCGCACACCTTTAATCCCAGCACTCGGGAGGCAGAGGCAGGCGGATCTCTTTGAGTTCGAGACCAGCCTGGTCTACAGAGCTAGTTCCAGGACGGACAGGCTCCAAAGCCACAGAGAAACCCTGTCTCAAAAAAAAAAAAAAAAAAAAAAAGAAACTTTATTGAACAAATAAGAAACAGAATATCCAGAAAAANAAAAAAAAAAAAAAAAAAACCTTTGTCTAAAAAAGGCAGTGTGAAAAAATCCAAGACATCCCTTGAGCACGGGGCACCCAACTAGGGAGGGATAGTTTTGGAGGTGGGATGTTAACAAAGGCTTCACAGTTGGGGGTGCGGAAATGGGGAGGTGACCCAGCAGTTAAGAACACTGCTTTTCCAGAGCACCCACATGGCATCTCACAGCCATCTGTAATTCCAGTCCCAGGGGGTCAGAGGCCGTCGTTTGGCATCAGGTACACATACACAGGAAGACATATAGGCAAAACACTCATATAAATACACATTTTAAAGGTACACAATTCAATTAAAGGTACACAATTCAAAGGCTATTAATGCTCCTCTACACAGAAAGCATTTGTGTGTGTGTGAGAGAGAGAGAGACAGAGACAGAGACAGAGACAGAGACAGAGAGAGATCAAAAGATGATGGGATGGCCCTGGGGGTGCAGCTTAGTTGTTACAACACCTTCCTATCAATGTGCCATCCTCAGAATCGCAAAATAAAGAGTAAGGGTGTAGGGACCAGCTATGGCCAGACAGTAATCCCAAATTTAGGAGGCTGAAGAACAAGAATTGTCTAGCTTTAGAGGCTAAAATTGATTACCCACTGAGAACCTATCTCAAAACCTAGAGAACCAGAGTAGAAAGAGTGAACAAGACTTGAGGCAAAATCAGTAATGTCTTTTGCAGAGTTTCTGGTCTAGAAAACCTGGAAGGTTTTAAGAACTAGTAGTGGGTATGGCTGGATGTGGTGGTGCACGCCTTTGATCCTGGCACTTGGGAGGCAGATCTTTGTGAGTTCGAGACCAGCCTGGTCTACAATGTGAGTTCCACTAAGTACAGCCAAGGCTATTACACAGAAAACCCCTGTCTTGAAAAGAAGAAACTAGGAGTGGGTTGTTCTGTGTGTCCCTACAGAGGTCCTTTGAGGGGGTGATATTGAGCTGAGAGGGGAAAAGGCACTGTTCAGATTCTGAGCAAGGAATCCAGCACTGGAGTGAGAGCACTGAATTTATCAAAGGTGTTTAAAAACTAAAACTGTAGCCGGGCGATGGTGGCGCACGCCTTTAATCCCAGCACTGGGAGGCAGAGGCAGGCGGATCTCTGTGAGTTCGAGACCAGCCTGGTCTACAGAGCTAGTTCCAGGACAGGCTCCAAAGCTAGAGAAACCCTGTCTCGAAAAACCAAAAAAAAAAAAAAAAAAAAAAAAAACTAAAACTGGAGCCAGGGGGTGCTGGTGGCCCACACCACCAAAACAAAAACCAAAACAAAAAATAAGTAAATAAAAGTGTCATTCATTCTCATTTACCCCTCCCTCTCTCTCTAGACCAGGCTAGCCTCGAACTCACAGACATCTACCTGCATCCCAAGTGCTGGGATTAAAGGCATGTGCCACCACCGCCCAGCCAGATTTTTTTCTAAATACAGTCACTCAAGTGACACACCACCATCCTCATACTGACCCTGTAACTAGCATAGACACTGTGAATTTCCTTAGCTTATTAGGCATGCAGTGACCATGTGCACTGCCACAGTGCGCCATACAATAATAACCTTGGCCAAGACCATCAATACTTCCTTCTCCTCTCCCTTTACCTCCATAGAGGTTATGGCCAATTTCTTCCTCATTTCACCCCTTTGAAGTCTACTGGGATCCAAATCTGATTCCCATTACAGGACGCAAAGGAATACTTATAAGCATCTTTTGGAATAGTCTGGCCAACTTCAAGTCATAGTCCCTGAATACCAGTGGAAGGAAGGGAGAGAGGGAGCAGATGGGAGATACTTCTCCGAGGTTCTATTTACAGCCCACTCTGCTGACATTCAGTGAGCTTTTGTAAAGCAAGCAAACTTTCAGAGTCTATAATTTAGTTAGAAAATGGGCTTCACAGAGTAACCGGCGCGGAAGACTGGAGTGCAGCATGCCTTGCTGTGGCTCTCTTTCCCCTAACTTCACCCAAGCTCCTCTTGGCCTAGGAGTTGAAATAAGAAGGGACTCACCTTCTACAACAACTAAAAATAGATCCTCTGGGGAGCAGCACCAGCTAAGTTGTCCATCTTGTAGGGCTTGACACCATCCTTTTTTCTTTTTTTTTTTCTTTTTTCTTTTTTTTTTCTTTCGAGACAGGGTTTCTCTGTAGCTTTGGAGCCTGTCCTGGAACTCCCTTTGTAGACCAGGCTGGCCTAGAACTCACAGAGATCCTCCTGCCTCTGCCTCCCAAGTGCTGGAATTAAAGGTGTGTGCCACCACCGCCCGGAGACACCATCCTTATTGATCATAACATTATCCCTAGATAAAATTGCTTGCCAGACAGCTAAAGTTATTTGTAGTTTTAAAAGTTAGAGATCTTTGCTTATCAATCAAAATATAACCGAAAGACTATTAAAAAAAAAGAATAATACCACTTTTGGGTATATATCCAAAGGATGCTCAATCGTGCCACAAGGACATGTGCTCAACCATGTTCATAGCAACTTTGTTTGTCATAGCCAGAACCTGGAAACAACTTAAATGTCCCTCAATCGAAGAATGGATAAGGAAAATGTGGTACATTTACATTATGGAGTACTACACAGCAGAAAAAAATAACGACAGCTTGAATCTTGCAGGAAAATGGATGGAACTAGAAAAGATTATTTTGAGTGAGGTGACCCAGACCCAGAAAGACAATTATCACATGTACTCACTCATAGGTGTTTTTAAAACATAAAGCAAAGAAAGCCAGCCTACAAAACACAATTCCAGAGAACTTAGACAACAGTGCGGACACTAAGAGAGACTTACATAGATCTAATCTACACGGGAAGTAGAAAGTAGAGAAAGATAAGATCTCCTGAATAAATTGGGAGCATTGGGGACCTTGGGGGAGGATTGAAGCAGGGAGGGGAGAGACAGGAAGGGAAGCAGAGAAAAATGTAGAGCTCAATAAATATCAATTTTTTTAAAAAAAGACATAGCATTGATCAACTTGTCTGGTGAGTTCAGATTATCTGGATTTCCCAGGCACAAAGATACTGTTGCTCATATCCCCCTACCCCACCCCACCCCAAGGACCTTGTCTCCTAACTCCTGAATTCCCTTGAAGCCAAATGAACCTCTCAGAGAAGTTTTCCTTCCAACAGGGTGAGGATCAATGGAGCATCAGGCAGAGAAATAGGTCCATATGGGTTTGGGATGATGGGCATTATCTAATAGACAAAAGTGTCTATCTGATGCCTGGGGAGTCTGTTCCTGAGGCTTTCTCTAGTTCAGCTCAAGTCCAAGACTGAACTCAAGATAACCCCAGCCCATGGGCCAGGTAGAGAGGTCAAATAAAGAACAAAGCATAGCCAAGTCTTTCCTTGCTTTCTGAGTTTGTGTTTCAAGTCTCAAAGATGTACAACTGAACTGAGCTTGGCGTTGGAAACCCCACCTAGACTCTACCTTGGTGCTGCTCGCCAACTCCTAACTACCCAAGCACAGCAGCTGCCCGAGGGTGGGGTAGCCGTTCTTCTCAGTGGACCTGCCCTGTGCAGTGAAAAAGATTCGTGGATAGGTCTAGGCTCCTTCAGGAGTGGGCTCAGCCTCTTCAGGTTCCTGCCTCACTGCCCTTTAGACAGCTCCACGCTGCCAAGACTCCCAGAGTGATCCTTGGTGACTAGATGAGCATTTGGGTGCCTATAGCTGCTGAGACATGGCCCACTGGAACGCCCTCCAAACCACTATAAAGCCAGGAGAAGTATGCCTAGATGGCTGCAATGACAAAGCAGGAAAGGTTCTCCCCGACCCCCATCCCCTCTCTTCTCCCTCCCTCTTTTTGTCCTTCCTTTTTTCCTAACAGCTCCCCACCCCCACCCCCACCCCCGCCTCGCCTCGCCCCCTGCCCAACTCCTTTGGGAAAATTTAGCGACATTTGTCCTTTTTGTATCTGGCAACCTGAAGGGCCTAGGCAAGCCTGGGGTTTGAGTGTAAGCTGGTCCAGGGCAGACAAGGCTCCTCCGGTACTATTCTGGGCTGCTAAGATCCCAGCAGCCCCTCGGAGGTCTGACCACCAGTTTTGGTTCCAGCGCGCCTCAGTCCCAGAACAGCTTTTGAGCTGCTGGTGCTGTGGGTGGAAAACAGCTCCTTTTCGACTGCGGTCTGCTCTCTGCTTGCTGCCTTCCCATCTTAAATATCCCTATGGAGTAGGGACCCCGCGGGGGTAGTACGTGTGTGGTCCCGAGCCCGCCTTCCCTGTCCCTGACTGCCCTGTGCGACGGAGCCCGGGTAGCCTTGCGCGGGTGCGAGCCTCGGGCGCGCGCCGTCTCGCCAGGGAGTCCGCACACCCGCTGCGTTCCCGCGTGCACTGCTAGAGGTGGCCTCAAAGTTTGCAAAGCTCTGGTGCCCGGCTTTCCTGACGTCTGAAGAGCCACATGCTCTCTCTGGCACTCGCTTCCCAGTGTTTTTTTTTTTTTTTTTCCTTAAGTACAGAACGTTTCTTGGTGAACATTTCCTCAATTGATACTTTAAGGCGTAGCTGAACCATAAAAAAAAAAAAAAAAAAGCCCGCAATCACTGCTTTAGGTGGAGTCAGCTGACTGCCCCCAGGGAAGAGGACAAAACAGCCTGGGCTGAGGACCACTGATGGAGTAAGGATGTCGGAGAAGGGCTGACCCAGGCTCGGGTCCAGAGGGAGCCAAGGCGGTCAGGTCACAGCCCACTAGAGATCGCTTCCCTTGCTTTTAATTTAGGATTAACTGAAGGTAATCATTGCGGCAAAATTACCAAACTTGGTACTCTACATAAATGTGTGTGTGTGTGTGTGTGTGTGTGTGTGTGTGTGTGTGTGTGTGCCCTTTTAAAAATGAGTCAGGCATGGTGGTTCACACCTAGAATTCTAGCTTTGTGGAGGGAGACAGGGCAGGTTCCTGGACAGTCAAAGCTATTTAATACAACCCTCTCTGTCCAACAAGAAAACAAAACAACAAAACCCCAATCCCCAATCCTCCTACCCACTCTCCAAACAATGGCAAAACCCAAGATCCTTCACTTGTCTAGGTTTGTAGCACAGTGATAGAGGGCTTGCCTTTCTAGGCAAGGCACAGGCCTTTAATCCCAGCACTTGGAAGACAGAGGCAGGTGGATCTCTGAATTCGAGGCTGAGGCCAGCCTGGTCTACAGAGCTAGTTCCAGGACAGGTTCCAAAGTTACGCAGAGAAACCCTAACTCAAAAAACAAACAAAAAAAAAATAAGGAAGAAGGGAAGGAAGGAAGGAAGGAAGGAAGGAAGGAAGGAAGGAAGAAAGGAAGGAAAGAAGGAAGGAAGGAAGGAAGGGAAAAAAGTAAGTAAAAAGCAAGTGCCCAAGTTCTAGGTTCCACTCGTCCCCGGGAGGACATGTGCCGATAAGAGCAAGTCACACTCATAGTGCACCCCCATCTGAAACCCTTTAACAATAGTCTGCTTTATTTCTCATGACTGACTTTGATTTGCTAGGGGGCAATTTTTTCCCCTACAGTTTCACAGTGAATGAGACATCTCACTGTCCAGTACCTTGAAATGTCCCCATGCCGAGAAACTTCGTGGTAGGTCACTTAATCCATGGCCAATTAATGTCATCTGCTTGTTTCAAACTGTTCAAAATTTCACTTAGTATGGTTGATTCTAAATGATCAGAAATTGTTAAGGCTGATCAACAATTGATCTACAATTGTTAAGTAGATGATCAAGAACTTTATTTCCTGCTGGGCAGTGCTGGTGCAAAACCTTTAATCCCAGCGCTTGGGAGACAGAGGCAGGTGGATCTCTGTGAGTTTGAGGCCAACCTGGTCTACAAAGCAAGTTCCAGGATAACCAGGGCTACACAATATAACCCTGTCTTAAAAAACAAAAGCAAACAAACAAAAATCCCTGTATATTCTAGCAGAGTTGACCTAATATAATGACATTCCCAAATACCGGACACAATAAATGATATTCATGTGTTGAAATACTCATTTGCTTCATTGAACTTCAAGAAAAGTAAATTACGATATATGTGTGGGCTTATTGTGTGCTTTTAATAATTACCATAGGAAAGGAAGTGCGTTAAAACTCAAATCCATTAGTAGTAGCAAAAGCAGCCAGACGATAAAGAGAGTGGCTTCCTACTTACCAATAGCTGTAAATCCATGCTTAAGAAATTCTTGACAATCCCCAGTATCGGAACTAGCAGACATTCTTAGCGAGATTATTGGCAGTCCTTTGGTTTACAGCAGAAATCATGGAGCGTGAGAAAGATTGCAGCTTGTCATATTTTGTGACCTTGGGAAGGAAGCCTCAGACTACAGTAACCCTCATTCCCTTAGTGAAAGTTAAGAAAAAGGGGGGAAAAATTCCAGAATTCAGAAAGGTCTGAGCCCATGTTCCCCTGGACTCTGTACTTTTTCCAGCATTAGTGACCTGCTGTAAACCATGTCTCCAGTTTCATGATGGTTCCTAATCAGAAGAAAGGAAGCTTTCCATAGGCTTTGACTAGTCATGTGACCCTGGGCAGGTTGATAAGAGGACCCTGTTATAAAGTGACAGCAAGAGAGATAAGAACCCTTGGCAGATAATGGCAAAGAAATGATTAACTCAGAAAAGGAGGGGTTCTCTGCAGCCCAGAGAGTGGAAAGTTGTAAATCTGAGGGGTCAGGAGATCACACTTAGTGGGTAAAACTCCCAAACTACCTTAAATTCACTGCCTAAACCAGCCTGTCACATGCCCCTTTGATGTCACTGCTTCTCGTTGCGGAGGTGGACAGACAGGCCTCTTGTGACCTCTGCAAACACGTTTTAGATGATAACATTGGCTGACATTAATTCCTGAAATGATGACTGCAGATATGATGGACACTTTGAAGCTCTACAGGTAGCACTTCCGAGCTCCTGGCCATTTACTTATGATCTGATCAACTGACTTTAAAAAAAAATCCTGTCTATTCACTAGATGAGAAACTATCTTGTTTATATACTAGTCATGGGCTAGGGCCATTTCTTCCCCTTCATAAGGTAAAGCTTACACCTTGAGATAAAATCTGGGCAAAATGATAAATGCACACTGTATTTTCACAAATGGTTCTGTATATATGAATATGTATGTGTTCATTAGGGAGGGGTTCACTTGTGTGTGAAGGAGGCCGATGGTACACTGTGTATACAAGCTTATGGACCCCAGAATATAACCTTGGGTTTTTTCCTTAGGTAATGTCCTCTTTGTTTTGTTGGGCTTTTGTTTTGTTTTGTTTTTCTGAGACAGGGTCTCCCTGATTGACCTGCAACTTGCTATGTGGATAGGTTGGCCTCAGACTCACAGTGATACGCCTACATATGCCTCCAGAATGCTGACATCAAAGGTGTGGGCCACCATGCCTGGCTGTAAACTTCTTTTATGAAAAAAAGAAGTACACATTTTAAAAATAAAAATGGCTCTTGTTTTTCTATTGCATTTAGTCAAATTTCAGTCATGAAAAACGTGTGAGTTCTGGGACCACAAAAGCTACATAGTTCCAAGGTGAGAGTGTCTCCAACAGAGCAAACAACAAACACAAAGAGAAAGGAAAGAAACACAGTGTGGAGTGGTGGTTCTCCTCCTGTGAGTCTCTACCCCCTTGGGTAGCATGGCAGTTTTACTGCATTTCAGATATCCACACTGCCATTAGCAGCAGTAGCAAACTTACAATTATGAAGTAACAATGAAAACAATGTTATGGTTGGGGCGGCCACAACAGGAGGAACTGTGATAAAGGGTGGCAGCATCAGGAGGGTCTAGAAGCCCTGGGCTAGGGGTCAAGCAATCTGGGGCTGAGGACCCTTCTATATGACCATTTTCTCTTTGCCTGTTACAAAAGGGCCGCTGGAGTTCCCAGCGTCACTACTAGGGGCAAAGTGGAGAGAAAAGAGAGAAGGGTCGGTCTCTGCAAGGACACTCCCTCGAGGTGGCTGAGGTGGCGTGCAAGCGTGGAATTGCGTGTGTAGAGGCAGGGTGTACACACGCACTAGACATTTAGTTACAAGACAGCCAGGAAGAGGATCCCGTATTTTAATTTCTAATAATAGAGCATCTTTAAAGTTTTTTTTTAGTTTTATGTGTAGAAATGTTTTGCCTGCAAAAACCAAAAGGTGTGTGTCTGGTGCCCAAAGGAAATTGGAAGAGGGCTTTGGATCCCCTGCAACAAGAGTTATAGACGGTTGTGAGCCACCATGTGGGTGCTAGAAATCCAACCTGGACCTTCTGGAAGAACAGTCAGTGGTCTTAACTGCTGAGCCATCTCTCCAGTCCCAAAAGCACACATTTTTAAAAAATCTTATAATGTGGAGGCTTGTCAGTTCTTTTTTGTTATTTTCTTTGAACAATCAAACAACAGCATGACACACCAGAAATCTCCTGTGTATATGTTAAATGACACAGTGCTCTGCGAAGCGGCTGTTTTCTTCCAAAGTATTTAGGAAAGTTGTTGATGGTGGTGGTGGTAGTGGTGGAAGTGCACACCTTTAATCCCAGCACTTGGGAGGCAGAGGCAGGTGGATCTCTATGAGTTCGAGGCCAGCCTGGGCTGCAAGAGCTAGTTCCAGGACAGGCTCCAAAGCTACAGAGAAACCCTGTCTCGAAAAACTAAAAAAAAAAAAAAAAAAAAAAAAAAAAAAAAAAAAAAAAAAAAAAAAAAAAAAAAAAAAAAAAAAAAAAAAAAAAAAGAAAGCATAACTATGGCCAGGCAGGTTGTGACAGTGCATGACTTTATAAAGAATTTTGGGTGTTTTTTTTTAAAACAGGGTCCACCACTGCCCACGGTGCACCACCACTGCCCACAGTGCATGCCTTTAATCCTCGTTACTGGGAGACAGACACAGGCAGATCTCGAGTTCAGGGCATCCTGGTCTACAGAGTGAGTTCCAGACAGCTAGAGCTATACAGGGAAACCAACAACAAAACAAAACAAACAACAAGAAAGAAAACATAACTATTTTTTTCTTGTATTAGTTGTTGTATTAGTGGTTTGTGTGTGGTGGGTGTAGCTTAGAGGTAGAGGTCAAAGGACATCTTTTGGGTGTCAGTCCTCTTCTACCTTGTGGGTCCCTGGGATCAGACTCTGTAGACAGAGATTGTACTTTTGTTCCCCACTACCTAGATCCAAATAATCACACAGAAACTATTTTTAATTACAACACTGTTTGGCAAACAGCTCAGGCATATTCCTAACTTGCTCTTACATCTTAAATTAACTCGTTTCTATTCTTCTATGTCTCGCCACAAGGCTGTGGATTACCGGTAAGGTTCTGGTATCTTTCTTCTTCGGCAGCTACATGGCATCACCCGGATTCCACCTATTCTCTCTATATATCTTTGTTCAAATTTCCCATCTGACTTAACTCTGTTAAACCAAAAAAACAGCTTTATTCATTAACCAGTAAAAACAACACACATATAGAAGGGCATCAGGGCTTCAGGTGTGGCATCAGGTGCTTTTACCTGCGGAGCCATCTTGCTGAACCCTAGACAACATAATGGGTCTAGTAGTTTGATGCAACTTAAAGAGACTTGCGGGATGGGGTGGGGAGATTGAAATGACTTCTGTCAGTCACTCTTTCCTCCTAGGACACTAGACACAAAGCTCCAGGAGATGTCCTATGGGTGGAAACTTTCCCAAGCTTTCTGAGAATCCAGGTGCTTTCTGGAGTTTATGGAATTCATCAGCAATGGAAGCCAAGATTTTAGCTGCAAAGCTTTCCACCCCTTGTCATGATTGTTTTTCTCCTTTTCATTTTTTAGATTTATTTATATGTTTATTGATGTGTTGCCTGCATGTATGTCTGTGTGATGGTGTCAGAGACTGGAGTTACAGACAGTTGTGAGTTGCCATGTGATTGCTGGGAACTGAACCCAGGTCCTCTGGAAGAGCAGCCAGTGTTCTTAACAACTGCACCATCTCTCCGGCCTTGTCATAATTATGTTTAAATGTATCTCCTGGAATGTTGACTCACAACTATAATCCTAGAACCTGGGATGCAGATGTAGGAGGATTGTCATGAGTTTGAGGCCAGCAATACCCCATATCAAACAAATAAACAGCAACAGAACCCCCCCCCCCAAAAAAAACCCAAGCACCTCCCAACCTTAGGGATGCCTTGTCAGTTAGTTAGAAGACTGGCTGGTTTCTGGATAAAGTACCATTCTTTTGTCTTTGAAGCAGTAAACGTTTAAAAAAAAAAAACCAAGAATTTAAAAATCCAAGAAGACTTGGAGTTTGTGAGGTCCTAGGCCTAGCAAGAAGTGACAGGTGAAGCTGGGCGGTAGTGGTGGTCGTCTTTAATTCCCTTTAATTCCAGCACTTGGGAGGCAGAGGCAGGCAGATCTCAGTGAGTTCGAGGTCAGCCTGGTCTATCTACAAAGTGAGTTCCAGGAGAGCCAGGACTGTTACATAGAAAAATCCTGTCTTGAAAAACAAACAACAAACAAAGTGACAGATGGATAGAGCAGTGGGCACGGAGAGAATAGTGGGAACCCTTCTTTCCTTAATGAACACATCAAAACCCAAGTAGTTCTGTTGCTTAAACCATAATGCCAATGATGCTGGCAGTTTTAATTAAGAGTCCCAGTTTTAATTTCTGTGAAGACAAAGGTCTCACAAGGGAAAAATTTACAATATTTGTGAGATCAAGGGACACCATTAGCTCTGGCTGGGAAGAGAGGTCGGTGTTTATGCCTCTGGTGTGGCCTGTCAACAGGGAAGGGAACTTTTCTAAAATGGTGACGGTACAGTGGCATGCAGCGCCTGTAAGCCACTGCCTGGTTCCATGTGAGTTTTTGAAATGTGTTTTGCTCCATCAGGCGTCTGGAAGAGAATCTTTATCCAGGTAACTAAAGCACATGTATGTACGCTTCCCAGTCTTCCTTGCTCTAAGCTATGCACACTACATAGTACCCCTCTTAAACTAGCTTTTAAATGGGTATAAGTGTACATGTAATTTTTGCCTCGGCACATGAACGTTTGTTGAGACACAATTTCACACGACAGTTGCTAGAATGTTTGTCTCGTATGCATGACGCTGCTGGCACACATCTGGAATCCTGGATCTTAGGAGGCAGAAGGAGCTCAGCGTCATCCATCAGGGACACAGTGAGTTTAAAACAGAAGGAGCTAGGGAAAAACTACATTCTACACATCACAGGACAGGCCCAGCAATTATTGGTCTCAAGGTTTGTATTGCAGAATTTACCATGTTTTCCTCTGTGTTCGTGGTTCTGCTTTCTGTAGCATTTCCACCTCCCACATCTCCTCCACCCCCCAGCGCCATTTCAGTTGAGATGCTGGAACAGGGTACCCAACATGCTGCACCGAGAGACATCAGGTGGTAGGAAAAGAGGGACTGACCCTTCCTCCTGCGCTTCTTCAAGGTAGGCTGTCAGGTTTGGAAGGCTTAGGATCTGGGTGAACGCTGGATGGCAAAATTAGAAG